ATTCCTATTGCTAGGGATAGAGGATGATTATTCTTGTTTAACGTGTATTTGTCGGGCTTAATATATTCATGCTTATGTGAGTTGAATTGATTAGGAATTGATGAATTATTGTTTGATTGATTGATATAATTGAAGAGTGACACTTCGATCTTGCAATTGGGAACAATTGAATGTTAATTTGTTGAATTAGGATTTGTCGATTCTAAATGGTATTTTGATTAAACACCTTCTAATTGAATTAGCGACTTTTAGAACCGAAAGGGGAGAAGTCGTAGACTTAGGCTCGCGTGAAGTAGATGATTTCGTAACTGAATAGTCTATATATTTTGGATTGAAATGCGTCTTCGTTGATGACCCGTCCCTTGTTACTAAGAGTTATTGGGATTGGGATAATTGGCATGTGTTGTATGCTCGAATTTGTTCGTCTATGTTCAACCCTTGTTACGAAGAGTTATTGGGAGCGAACCGCTAGATGTTTAAGCAAGAGTGTCAATCTGGAATAGAATGATCAATGTCCCGGTTTTGCAAATAGAACTTGAATTGATTATCCTCGCCTCCCTAGCTTCTTTATTTTCGTGTCATTTGTATTTTTAGGTACATTATTGCTTTTATGCTATTTCTTAATTGGTACTTATTCAAACCCCTCATTTGATTAGGTTGTGTAGGATTTATTTTCTTTTGTGTGTGATCGATACCAAAGCTAAATTCTGAACCGCCTTCCTCGTGAGATCGACCCGGGGAACGAAGCTTTCGATTCGGTACTCGGTAAAAATAACAATTTGTACACAACAAGATTCAAAATCCTCCTCGATCGTTATTAAAAACTGCCCCTTAAAATCTGAAAATCGCGGCGGCGGAGAGTCGCGTGTCGCGGTGAAGAAATGCTCTGCAGCCGCGACGAGTCCTGAGGCCGCAAACTTTTGCTGGCAGAACATGTCCCGCGGTCGCGGAACCACCTCGCAGGTTGCAACGAAGAACTTTAGGCGCACTGGTTTTTTTTGTTCTCTGCGTCCGCGGAAGCACCGTCGCGGGCCGCGATGAAGGGTTTTTTGCACGGCTGCGATTTTATATGCACGCATCCGAACTCAGAATTGAATTCTGTCTTTTCCAGTTGGACCCCAACTCATCCTTCTAGATAATTGATCTCGCTCAGCCATTTTTTCTTCATGAAATCGATAGCCAATCCAGGCACCCAACCTTCACACAACAAACGACAAGAAAAACGCAAAAACCAGGAGAAAAACAAACAAGAACTCCTAAAATAAACAAAATAAAAGATAACACATGCCAAGACACGAAACGGACCAATAACCAAAAGAAAAACATAAAATGGAGGAAAAAGAAAGGTAAAACGAACAAGAAAAACACGACAAAAATGGAACAAATAACTCCCCCACGCTTAAACCATTTTTTGTCCCGAACAATAAATAGAAAAGAAAATAAAATAAAACAAACAAACGAGCATGGACAATGATTTCAAACAAGAAAAGTCTCAAATTGATCAACGAAGTTGAAAAGAATTCTGATGACCACGAGAACACACCTCGACAATTAACTCAGTTACTTGGAAACACAGACTCTCGGATACAGAGATATGATATATGTGTCTCACTCAGTTTCTTTCGCAAATAAAAGGGGTAGGTGCACTCAAATTGGTGTCAGTCAAATCAATCATATGTTTTTCTATCGTCTAACATCTACTCTAATCAATCAAATTCATGAGCTAATGGATCAAGAGGACTTCCAGGGATGTAACGTAGGTTTTGTGGATGAGGTAAGATAAATATAGGTTACGTGGCTCAAATATATAACATCACAACTCAAACACTCAACCGTAATCAACAACTTCTCCGGTCCCAACCGGTTTCTCCCAACATTCTCCAAAGCCAATACGCTTCCCCAATATATTATCATTTTTTTAACCTTTTGAACACTTTATCTAGGTTTAGCCATCGGGTTTTTCTACCCGAGTCTTCTAGATCGGTTTCTCGTACTCATTACTCGAGACTGCTAATTTTAGCGGTCGGAGCACTTCGAGTATAATTCGTTCAGTTTACAATTTTTTTATATATTCATACAAGACTGCAGAAGAGTTAAGAAGCCAGAAAGTCCCCATGTGTCATATCTGGTGGCAATAACTAACAGTCTATACATGTAAGCCAGTGCACTTGAGCCCTAAGAATAAGTCCCAACACTATCCAAGTCCTCAATGATCTCGTGCAGGGATTGGGAGTCGCCCTGCTACAACTCTTGTCAACAAACAAGGTGGTACTTAACAACACCCACACCCACGAAGTAGCTTGAGCCACAGGCGACCAAGTTGTCCCCTCAATTTCTACCAAAATCCAGAAAACTGTCACCGCACCATGCTTCCAGAAAGACTCCATCACCTTAGTTTTCGTGAGTTGCAACATCTCCATGTAGTAAGCCTGACAAGAGCTAGTGTCGGGGTCCTCTTAACTATCTCCCCCACCACAAGAACCCCCAAAATCTCGAACATCGTGCAACGTGATACTTATTTCACAAAGCGGCAAAGTGAAACGAGTTAGTATCAGTCTGCCTGCACTAGACAAATACATAAATAAGTGGATTTTTCACATGAGTATGCATGGAATCCACCAGATGTGACAGCCAAGTTCGACCTATCAAATCGCGTGCAGCGCGAGGCATAGCAGGGACCTAACTCCTTAACTTCTCGTGCGCTGCCTCTAAACTCTCATGTCCACATACGAGAGGCTACGTGCCCCAGAAAGCTGGGGATAATACTCTCATAAATGGCCGCTAGGCACTGGGCCTGAACCGATCCAGTCTTTTGCTGGTAGACTTCTAGATCGTTTTCTACTACCTGACATTAGAATAAAACATATATATATATATGACATATTGTGACTGACAGTATCAATGATATGTTACTATTAAATAAAAAAATTTAATGGTAAACAACAATAAGTACGTAAATTATTTACCTGTGGATCCAGTGCTCGCAAAATGGCCCCCAACACATGGAAGAGCAGGTCATGCAAGAGCCTTTCGTGGTGGAGGAAATCCTGGTAATCACCAGACTAAAAGTCCTGAGAATCTTTCGAGAACTACAGACTCTCGAAATGAGACTCATCATAAACACCCTGCTGCTCGAAGCGGGACTGCTGAACTCTAAAATCGGTTTGTACTGGATTGAGGCGTCTCGAAGCGCCATCCTGAAAATCCCCAAACCAATGCTTGTGCAAAGACTGGTCAGCGTGACCATTCTATCTTAGGCGAATCTCACGCTGCACCTCAACGTCTCTCGCCCGATTAGCGAAAGCATCCACATATCGACACCTAGTGTGTGGGAGTCCAGAACCAATAAACTTGATATTAAAATATTAAATAGTAATAATGGTTTTAATAGTAATTACCTATTAAATAGTGCATATAGTATTTTTTCGAAACGATAGAGATTTTATAAAGCGCACAAAAGTGCAAAAAGAAAGCAGCCTAAAGTTGAATGATTACAATGAAGAGCTTAAAATTGAGAGAACAGATCTAGAAATCGCCTAGAGACGCTCTAGAAATGCTAGACCAACACTACAACACTAACTAAAACCAACTACAAAGCACAAACAAAAAACACAAGTCCTGAACAACAATGAAAACAACAAAACTAACTAAAACTAACAAAACCAACACGAGAAAAAATACAGTCCTTCCCCAGCAGTAAATCGATCCCCATAAAAAACATCGATGGACACACAGTCGACCCCACAGAACAACCTGTTGCCCGAAGAACCGCTCTCGAAACTGTCGGAACTGACTAACTGAAGCTGAACTCGAGTCACAAACCGATCCAGGAGCCAACCGGACCCTTGCCGGGGGAGCTCCAACCTCGCCCCCACACCACGACAACTTCGACCCCGTCTAACACCCCTAGTTGTGGTCGTCTTCCCGCCCCCAATTGGATCCCTCACTAGAATCCAAGGAGAAAGGGGTTCGGAGGAAGCTCCACAGCTCCGGCGGCCCCGTCTCGAGCAACGGAAGCCACCTGAGCCACTCCCAAACCCCAGTGCCACACATCGCCAAGATCCATCGCTGCACCAGGGAGGCGAACGTACAGAAGCTTCGGACTGGCACCAGAATCAGAGAAGACTGGCCGAAAGATGTCCGCCGGCGACCACCGGAACAAAGCAGATTCGAAGGGGGCACATCGAGACCGAGTCTGTACGGCAGAGAAGCCAACCTCCGGCAAATGGGAAGGCTACCACTGAGGAGGGCAACTGGAAAAGATGAAGGGGGCGCGTTGGATGTGAGAAAAGAGGGGCAAATTTAGGGCTTGGGTGCGGCGAATTTTAGAAAATACTATTCATTAATGCATATAGTAAATAAATATTTAATTCAAATATGTTATTAAATATTATAAGTAATTATTTCCTGAAAATAATATAAGTTAGATGCATTCTCCTTGAATACATAATTATTTTTTTATAGTTAAATGTAATTCTTATTAAAACAATTTGATATAATTACATTTAATTAATATATATAACCATAATCTTTAAAAGTATTACAAAATTAATGTAATAATTATTCATAACCACATAATTATAATAATTCAACTTTATTATTATATGAATATACAAAATAAATAATTAAAGAAAATATAAAAAATTTTTGAACTTATATTAGAATACAAATTGTAATTTTTTAAATTAATAATTACTCAACAACCATTTTATTACATATATTACAACTAATTCATTTCCTAAAATACTAAAGTTAGTTGCATTGTCCTATTAATAATTAGTATTATTATCATAATTTTAATATAATTACATTTAACTAATATTTATAATATATTATTTATGTATAACATATTATTGATAACTACTAAACAAAAATTTATCTAAATTAACCTAATCAAAAAATTAATCCAATTCTATATTTAAATATTTAACCATTTAAAATATTTAAACATATTTAAATAATTTCAATCATTAAAAAATAAAAAATATATATATATAAAATCAAAACTCGCCGGCAGTCGGCCGGCAAAGCCGCACTATCAGGCGGTTGTGGCCGACCGAAGGTGCGGCCACCTCTGAATACCGGCCGCCTACAGTCGGCCGCGATTGCCTGTCGACCGGCTGGCGAGCAGGAAGTTTAAAAAAAAAATTACCAAAAACTTAAATAAAAAAAATAAACATATTGGAGAAATCATGGGACCTTTGTCTTTGTCATGGTGACGATTTGTCTTTTTTTTTTAAATTGATTTGGTGGGAATCCAGCCAGCAGAGTTTGGGAATGTTTTGGAAATTTTTTGAAAGATAATTATGAAGGGGAGAATATGGTCAAAGAGAGGATATATGTAGTAAAAAGAGAGGCGGGTTTATCGATTCACTAATTTTAGCTAACTATCACTTTCAATTATTTTTCTCTTACTTTACATCAAATCAACTTTAATTAATTGATTTTAAATATTATTTTAATTTGAACTTAAATTCACACTTACAACTAATCATACTACCTTTTTCAAAAATTAACTATAGTTAACAAGAAAATCAATTAAAAACCAATAAATCCATATCCAATCCAATCACATTGGTGGCATGATGTTTGCTCAGTAAAGAAGGTGGAGGTTTGTGAAGCCAGAATCGAGCTTTCCACTTATATTATGTGGTGGCTTTGGAAAAGTCGAAATTTGTGGTTGTTTAAGAAAGAATGGATTCCTCCTTTGTCAATAGTCAAGAATGCTATGTATGATTGGCAAGAATTTTCCAAGAAGGGTGCAGATGGCAGAGATTTCAACAGGCTGTAGCATCGTAGAAGAAGTGGGTCTAGGTTCGTTGAGTTCAATGGGCGCTTCTTTCTTGTTGTTATGTCTTGTATCTGTCTTTGTAGCTTTCTTGTTTTTGTTTAGCATTATGTACTTCTGGCAATTTTGTTGGTTGGTTTGGAGTTTTAATCTAATTCTAAGGGTTACAGAATGATTCTGGCCTTAAAATGTATATTAGGCTCCTCAGTTGTGTCAGGTTTGTTTGTTTTGGTTCTAGAGCATCTTAGGTTGGATGTGTCTCTTGTATTAGGGCCAGTTGGTCCTCAATTGTATTCCTGTACATGCAGTTATATATATTTCCTATCATTTGAAAAAAAAAAAAAAAAAAAAAAAAAAAAAAATCCAGCCACACCTTTAATAGTTTGAGGTATCTGCACCTAACTTGTTTACAGGATATATTACGTCAATATAAGTATTGACTAAAATTATATTAAAAGTTAAACTCGGGCCTCAGCTGTACTGTGCACGTTCTGAGATAATCAGTTCTTGGTACAATTTGAATACACAAATGTACTTTTGAGTATATTCATCCTTCCAATGTACAGCATCATTTTCAAACTGATTAACACACAGGTACCTTACCCAAGTTTCAACAGCAATGGTAAACTTTACTTCTCTCACAGCCTATTGAACACCGTGATCAAACACCATCAACTGAGGACGACAAGTCACAGATAAAGCTTCGCCAAATTCCAGCATGACCATTTAGATTACACATAAGAACAAGCACAACATACAGGCAGATGAAATGATAACAATCTCAACCCGAGATCTCCTAGTACGATTCATCATACCAAGTGTGACATTTAGTAAATAACACAAGTCGACATTCTCCTTGCATCTTTTTTTTT